CTTCCGAACGTCATGGGCACGAGGATAGACCGCAGGCTGGCTAGAGTTAATAACCCTGTGGACAACCTGGGAGACCCGTGCCCTGGAACAGGAAACGAGGGAAACCGGATCAACCCAAAGCACATCCCCAGCCACCCCAACTGAAGCCCGCAGGTAACGGTGAAGTGCTGCAACCGGACACAACACATGATGCACCCCCAGCCGAACCAACCAAGCATCAATGACCCACGGACCCCTCCAGAAAGCAGCCGTCTTGTTCTTCGCCAGAAAAGGTGGAGAAGGCTGCAAATGGACAAACCTACCCCAGGACCAAAAGAGCAGAAACCCCTGCGCCGCAGGAGAGCATGAAGCTCCCCTACCCGGCCCCCAGAGGCCAATGCCAACAAAAACAAAGCCTTGGAAAAACAATCCGGAATCGAAGGGGCCACCACAAACCGAGGAGAGGAAAGATAGGAGAGCACCCTGTCCAAGGACCAGGACGGCTCAGGGGACGCATGAGCAGGCCGGAGGTGAAACATAGCACGGGAAAGCTTACAAAACGGGGCGGATGTGACGTCCACCCCGAACGCTAGCTTGAGCGGCTCCGCCAGCGCTGCACGATATAAGGCGACAGTATTAGGCATCAAATGACGGTCCTGAAAAAGCCAAGAAAGAAAGGACAAGACAACCTGATCTGAAAGAAAAGACAACCTACGAAGAGCCAGAAAATGACAAAAAGAACGCTAGGAAACGTCATACTGTCGCTGAGACGAAGCTCTCAGGTGGGACACCATCAACGAAGCCACCTAATCACCATAGAAATGGTGATACACCCGCGTCAAAAAAGACCAGACGCGAAGAGCAGAGAAGAAGTTCGAACCAGCCCTGTACCGGACCGGGCCAACCTGCTGAAAGAGGCGGAGCCGCGGGAAACATCCCGGGCTCCGATGTTGCAATAACCTAAACCTAACATGCAACGCTGATGCTGCCTGTACCCTAATAGGAACATCCTCAGAGTAAAACTGGAGCACAAGCAGAGAACATGACTCACAAGACTCCGGGTCAAAGGTGTTGTTGACCCAACAGGCAGCATGACGGAGGCAAAACAGGTGACTGTCACCCTGAGACAAGGTCACACTGCAACCTTCAAACCCGCACAAGGCAGGCTGGAACTCGCGAGACATATCCATGGGTCCCCAAGCCCTGACAGGGGTTTCCAAGGCCCGTAGGGTAACAACTACAGGAAGCCCGGGCAAGGTGTTGCTAACCGGTTAAGAAACCCAAACAAACAAGGGTAGATGATAACACTGAAAATCCCCTGGGACGTGTACAAGCACGGGGGCCTAGCAGAGGGCCACCAAAACAATATCAGGGGAACTATAGACCCACAAGGCAGAACCACCACCAGGTAAACAAAAACAAAACAAAAAAGAAAAACCTCGCAAAAGTACACTGTCCCCAGAGGCAACAGGAACCGGTCGCCACTTAGGTGGCAGGCCGCACAACACCTTGACGCCCTAACCAGCACAACACCACTCCCTACCCAAGGCCAAACAAGGGCCCTAAGCCCCAGCTGGCCCCAAGGGCGAGGCAAATGCCGAGCAGCAAGAACCCTTACGGGAGCAGTTCCCAAACGCCCCAGGGAAGATAACCATGACACGCAGGGGCAATATTCACAGGGCGCCTAGGGAAGGAAGCCCTAAGCGCATGTAGCCCCGGCACTGATGAGGTACTCCTGGCCACCGCAAACCACACAAAGACAGCAGAGAACGCCACACGAGGCAAACACCGCCCAGGAATTTGAGGTCAGAGAAGCGTCTATCCCGATTGACACTAGCTTACGAACTGAAGGTAGCCGGCGTGATGAGGTCCTGGGCCACCCTCCCCATCCCAGGGAGGGGAGGTGTTACGACCCAGGGTTCTCCAGTGGAAACCAGAGGTCAAAATTGAGCTATTAAACTTTCTGGTAGTACAGTTGAGTGCATCACGAGCGGCAATTGTTTGTATCTTCCCTGCCAGACGTAAGACTATTCTTGTTTCTCAAAGAGCATTTAAAGACTGAGCTTGGGGTTGATTATTAAATAATAACATAGGCACCAACTATGTTGACTAATACTTTCTAATCATTTGTAAAGTAACAATACGTTGCATAGGGGAAGATCTTTAATGTGCTTAGCTGCACGATCAATTAGGCTCCTTCCGGCACCACGACATGCCAGAGGCCTAGCTGGTCGCTAGGAGCGTTCTTCTCTGGCTGGCGTTCGTGGGGACGAGACCTACTCTGTGGCTGCACCCCTACTCTCCTCCCTTCTCCTCTTACTTATTTCCCTTACCTTAAGTTCCTGTACCATTAAGTTAAGTATTGTATGGTGTTTAAGTGTGCCTACTCTGGTAGTAACGATTGGTGAGACCTGGGGGTAGTATTTGCCAGTGTTTTGGGTACCCCTAAGTGTTGTGTTTTAAATTAGGGTACCTCGTGGTGTCTCTACCCTAAGCTGCATCCAGCTTCAGTGCTTATCCAGTAGTACTTTACCCTAGCTTGTTCTTAGTGTAAACCTTGTATCCTGCCTAAGTGGACCAAGGCTTTTTAACGTAAGGTAGTGTGGTAAAGTTATTATTATTATTGTTATTGGTGTGAGTGTATATGGGGGGGTTGTTAAGGGGTTAATAAATAAGTACATGAATTATAGGAGTATCCCTTCTTCCTGTGTGGGAGTGCATTGATCAACCCTTAGACTGACATATATGGTCTAGTAGCAAGGTATTATTACTGTGGATAGTTTATTTTGGGGGCCGGGCCTTTTAGCTCTCCCATATTTGATACTCTGTCTCCTAACTACCCTTACCCCTTAATAGTACCAGTCCCCCATAGCAAGCCCACCACACATTTATATTTGTAACAGGAGGGCTGCGCAGACGACCGGCGCGGCAGAAAATTGATTGTTTGATTGTTTCCTTGGGATTGTAGGGAGTTTCTACCTCTCTGTTCGGTTTTTTGTTGTAGTTTTTTACCATGTGGGGTTTGTTTTGTTATGCCTACCTTTCTGGGTGCCTGACCCCAGTCGATGGCAGATAAGGAAAACTCCCAACTATAATGGGGTTTTCCAGGGCCATTGCTCCCTGAAACCTCTCTGAAGGGGCCAGGTTCTGGCGCTGGTCCCTGGTAGGTCTGAACTCCATAGCTAATGTCCCGGTCTAACATAACGTTCATTAGCCCGATAAGCGCCAGGGAGCCATAGGGACTCCCCACAGAAAAGGAACAAAACTCACAAGACTCTGGGTCGAAAGTGTCACTGACCCAACAGGCAGCATGACGAAGGCACAACTGGTGAGTGTCACCCTGAGACAAGGGGGACAGAGCAATCTTCAAACTCGCACGAAGTGAGAGGGGACCCTGGAGTCGTATCTATTGGACCAAAGAGCCCCCGCAGGGTTTCCCAGGGCCTTTAGTCGCATTATGTCACTAACGGAAACATAGGCAAGGTACTGTACTGTTAACCGGTGCCCAAAAACTACTAAGCAAACTGCTAAAGCTGAACCCCCAGGATGTGTACACTCACGGGAGCCTAGCGGAGGACCACCAAAATACAAAGGGTGTGACCAAACCAAGGGGCAGATCCCCCTACCAGGCAGGAAAACAAAGTAAAATAAAACCCCGCAAGAGGACAATGTGCCCAGGCGGAACAGAGCCGGCCGCTATGAGAGGTGAAAACTAGCTGCACAGTATACCTGCGCCCCAAACAGTGATGAAAACTACCCCCCCCCCTTACCCAGAGGCAAACAGAGGTGTATGAAACACCCCAGCTGACTCCAAGGGTGGTCAATCACCGAGCAGAAAAAGACTGCAAGGTGATTTATGGAAGGTGGTCCCAAGCCTCAAGGGTAGTACTTACAGGGAACCTATGGAAGGAGACCCTAGGTGCAAGCAGTCTGAGTACTCGAGAAATTATTCCTGGCTTGTGCACCACCTATCAGACAGAACCACATCACAAGGCACAAAACTGGAAAACTCAGGAGCCAGAGGTGTCCGACCTTGCCAGTTTCACATCAGCCACAGAACTGGGGTGTGGATAGCCGGCACAGGGGGTCTGGGGCTCACTCTTCCCCTTCCTGGGGAGGGAGGGTTGCGCAGATGATGATGTGGCGATGTCATGCTCGTTTGCTCGTTTTCAATTAGGGAGTTCTGTCCACTAGTTCGGCTTTCAGTAGCAATATCTTAACTGGAATAGGGGTTTGTTTTGGGGCGTTTACTTTTCTGGGTACCTGACCGGTCGATGGCAGATATAGAATGCTTCCAACCACAAGGGGGTTTCTATAGGCTATTGCTCCTCATGCCTCTCTGAGGGGGGCCAGATTCTGGCTTGTGGTCCCATGTAGGCTTAGAACTCCATGTGCATTGACTGATGCCAGGGTCTAATACATTCATATCAGCCCAGATAGCTGCAGGGAGCCGATGGGGCTACTCCCAGAAAATGAATGATAAATAAAGAATTTTCTTGATTTAAATAAAATATTTAAACAAATAGAATTCAATCTGAAATTATATTTCTTGTTACCTCATTTTCAATGAACGTTTTTAAATAATTAATTTAGATTTTTCAAAAACACTTTTTTGTGGGGAGCAATGATCCAATATATCTGGCCTTTTTTTTTTCCTTGCTGTTGGAAGAGGAGATGATGTGGAGCTTAGATGCTGTTGTTAATCTGGGGAACGTCTTCAAATTAAACAGTTTCCCTTCAGCTGTGTACTAAATATAATTTGAATCAATCCTCACTTTCTTAGGACTGCAAAGCAAAATTCATGCCATTTAGAAGGAAAGCCGCGAAGGATAAAAATAAGACAAAAAGGGACAGAAAATGCTGCGGCAGCCACATACACGCACGTAACATTCACGCTGTCACTTTCACATGCTTACACTAACATACACATATTTGCGGTCACATTTTCATTAGATAGTTAACAGACAATAGAAATATATGATGCACACTGGAGAGAGAGAGAGAGATAGAGAACCACTTACACTGTGCATGGTTCATAGTGGGTTCAGGAGGAGGGCGGGTACGGATGGAACGCCACTTCCAGTGGGGCTTCTGAGCACGAGAAAGGAAGTCCTTCATCAAGTCCTCAGGACTCTGGTTCACATGGTTTTGGTCGTACTTGTACTCACAGTACACCCTGGGCACGGAAGAGAGAGTACAGGTGTTCGTTAGATTTATATAGACTATAGACACGGATATACACACATATTCTCACATACAAACACTGGAGTTCCTTGTAAGATTTGAACACACAAATATGCAATTAACTCACCAGTCAGGATGAAGAGTCCAGTTGCCAGATGAGAAATGATCCATTGCTGTAAAATTAGACATAATTAGAATGTAATTATTATGTGTATACAGACACAAAATATATATACAGTATATATATATATATATATATATATATATATATATATATATATATATATATATGCGAACAAGCCTGAATGGTCCCAAGGACATATGCAACTGAAAACTCACACCCCAGAAGTGACTCGAACCCATACTCCCAGAAGCAATGCATCTGGTATGTACAAGACGCCTTAATCCACTTGACCATCACGACCGGACATAATGAGGTGATAGCCGAGGCTATTTGAACCACCCCACCGCCGGCACTCGGATAGTTATCTTGGGCATAGCATTTTACCAAATCACCTCATTCTTTGGGGCAACACGTGAGGAACACAAATGCGAACACAAAACCTCATTATGTCCGGTCGTGATGGTCAAGTGGATTAAGGCGTCTTGTACATACCAGATGCATTGCTTCTGGGAGTATGGGTTCGAGTCACTTCTGGGGTGTGAGTTTTCAGTTATATATATATATATATATATATATATATATATATATATATATATATATATATATATTATATATATATATATATATATATATATATATTATTAAATATGACCGAAAAAGTAAGATTAATAATTCTAACACGAATTTTCTCAATCTTTCGTACATTACGCTTCACTGTTGGAGGTAAATCAAAAATCACTTCTCCAAAATTCATTTTTATTTCTAGTCTGACGCGACACGGGCGCGTTTCGTAAAACTTATTACATTTTCAAAGACTTCACAAATACACAACTGATTAGAACTTACGTATCTCTGATTTTATATCTACATTTGAGTGAGGTGGGAGGGGTGATGTGGCATTAACACAAGACAGAACAAGAGGGGATATTAATAGGGTATTAAAAGTATCAACACAAGACAGAACAGAAACAATGGGTATTGAATAGAAGTGTTTGTAGAAAGCCTATTGGTCCATATTTCTTGATGCTTCTATATTGGAGCGGAGTCTTGAGGTGGGTAGAATATAGTTGTGCAATAATTGGCTGTTGATTGCTGGTGTTGACTTCTTGATGTGTAGTGCCTCGCAAACGTCAAGCCGCCTGCTATCGCTGTATCTATCGATGATTTCTGTGTTGTTTACTAGGATTTCTCTGGCGATGGTTTGGTTATGGGAAGTGATTATATGTTCCTTAATGGAGCCCTGTTGTTTATGCATCGTTAAACGCCTAGAAAGAGATGTTGTTGTCTTGCCTATATACTGGTTTTTTTGGAGCTTACAGTCCCCAAGTGGGCATTTGAAGGCATAGACGACGTTAGTCTCTTTTAAAGCGTTCTGTTTTGTGTCTGGAGAGTTTCTCATGAGTAGGCTGGCCGTTTTTCTGGTTTTATAGTAAATCGTCAGTTGTATCCTCTGATTTTTGTCTGTAGGGATAACGTTTCTATTAACAATATCTTTCAGGACCCTTTCCTCCGTTTTATGAGCTGTGGAAAAGAAGTTCCTGTAAAATAGTCTAATAGGGGGTATAGGTGTTGTGTTAGTTGTCTCTTCAGAGGTTGCATGGCTTTTCACTTTCCTTCTTATGATGTCTTCGATGAAACCATTGGAGAAGCCGTTATTGACTAGGACCTGCCTTACCCTACAGAGTTCTTCGTCGACTTGCTTCCATTCTGAGCTGTGGCTGACAGCACGGTCGACGTATGCGTTAACAACACTCCTCTTGTACCTGTCAGGGCAGTCGCTGTTGGCATTTAGGCACATTCCTATGTTTGTTTCCTTAGTGTAGACTGCAGTGTGGAAACCTCCGCCCTTTTCCATGACTGTTACATCTAGAAAAGGCAGCTTCCCATCCTTTTCCGTATCGTAAGTGAAACGCAGCACGGAACTCTGCTCAAATGCCTCCTTCAGCTCCTGCAGATGTCTGACATCAGGTACCTGTGTAAAAATGTCGTCAACATACCTGCAGTATATGGCCGGTTTCAAGTTCATGTCGACTAAGACTTTTTGCTCGATGGTACCCATGTAGAAGTTTGCAAACAGGACACCTAGGGGAGAACCCATGGCGACCCCATCTACTTGCTTATACATGTGCCCATCCGGGCTCAAGAAGGGTGCCTCTTTAGTACAAGCTTGGAGTAGTTTCCTCAGAATACTTTCTGGCATGTCAAGAGGAGTACAGGCTGGATCACGATACACTCTGTCGGCTATCATTCCGATTGTCTCGTCCACAGGTACGTTGGTAAACAGCGATTCTACATCCAACGAGGCTCTTATCCCTGTGGCCCGTGTGCCCCGCAGTAAGTCCACAAATTCCTTTGGAGACTTCAGGCTGAAGGCGCAAGGAACATAAGGAGTCAGCAGGCCGTTGAGTCGCTTCGCCAGTCTGTACGTGGGTGTGGGTATCTGGCTAATGATTGGCCGAAGTGGGTTTCCAGGCTTGTGCGTCTTGACATTTCCATACGCATATCCAGGTTTATATTCCCCAATGATCTTTGGCAGGTGGAGTCCGGATTTCTTGGCGTTCACAGTTTCGATCAGTTTGTTGACCTTTGCTTTTAATTCGGCTGTAGTGTCCTTCGTTACCCTTTGGAACTTAGTTTGGTCAGAGAGTATGATGTTCATTTTCGCCAGATATTCGTCTTTTTTAAGAATGACATATATTGGCGACTTGTCACCTCTCCTGACAACTATCTCCTTGTTCTCACGAAGGCTTTTAGCTGCCGCTTTAAGCTCGGGGGACAGTATGGTGCTTCTGTAGTTGCCTCGATTCTTTCCTCCTTCTGCAATAAGTTCTGCTTGTAAGGTATCTTTGGTAGTGACCTTCTTTTGTGTCCTTCTTTTGACCTTCTTCACTACCAAAGATACCTTACAAGCTTGCATGGCATTTCACCTTCCTTCTTATGATATCTTCAACGAAACCATTGGAGAAGCCGTTGTTGACTAGGGCCTGCCTTACCCTACCGAGTTCTTCATCGACTTGCTTCCATCCTGAGCTGTGGTCTAACAAAGGTTATCTTGAGATGATTTTGGGGCTTAGCGTCCCCGCAGCCCGGTCCTCAATCAGGCCTCCTTTTTGTTACACACCCCCAGGAAGCAGCTGTCTAACTCCTAGGTACCTATTTACTGCTCGGTGAACAGGAACATCAGAGTGAAAGAAACTCTGCCCATTAGTTTCCACCTCCAACAGGGATCGAACCCGGAACCTCAGAACTATGAATCCCAAGCGCTGTCCACTCAGCTGTCAGATAGGTAGCAAATATCCTCCAAGACGTCAATCTTTGCAAATTGATCACACAAACACCTGAATACTGTACCAGCACTAAACCTCTTAATGAGCAAGTTTGATAACTTATTTTACATTAGGTTAGCCTAGGTTAGGTTTGGTCAGTAGTTTCCATAGGGTGTGGCACACTACATTAGTGTGGCATGAAAGGATGGAAGTGTGGCGGTAAGTCTCAAGCATAATCAAAGAAACGCATAAACATTCAGTAAAATACAGATTTATTTCTTTTCGAAAACCAGAAAAGAAAAAAGGCTTCTTTGTAATTACCTAAGTGTAATTACCTAAGTGTAGTTACAGGATGAGAGCTACGCTCGTGGTGTCCCGTCTTCCCAGCACTCTTTGTCATATAATGCTTTGAAACTACTGACGGTCTTGGCCTCCACCACCTTCTCACTTAACTTGTTCCAACCGTCTACCACTCTATTTGCGAAGGTGAATTTTCTTATATTTCTTCGGCATCTGTGTTTAGCTAGTTTAAATCTATGACCTCTTGTTCTTGAAATTCCAGGTCTCAGGAAGTCTTCCCTGTCGATTTTATCAATTCCTGTAACTATTTTGTATGTAGTGATCATATCACCTCTTTTTCTTCTGTCTTCTAGTTTTGGCATATTTAATGCTTCTAACCTCTCCTCGTAGCTCTTGCCCTTCAGTTCTGGGAGCCACTTAGTAGCATGTCTTTGCACCTTTTCCAGTTTGTTGATGTGCTTCTTAAGATATGGGCACCACACAACAGCTGCATATTCTAGCTTTGGCCTAACAAAAGTCATGAACAATTTCTTTAGTATATCGCCATCCATGTATTTAAATGCAATTCTGAAGTTAGAAAGCATAGCATAGGCTCCTTGCACAATATTCTTTATGTGGTCCTCAGGTGATAGTTTTCTATCTAGAACCACTCCTAGATCTCTTTCTTTATCAGAATTCTTTAAAGATTTCTCACATAATATATAGGTTGTGTGGGGTCTATGTTCTCCTATTCCACATTCCATAACATGACATTTATTAACATTAAATTCCATTTGCCAAGTGGTGCTCCATATACTTATTTTGTCCAGGTCTTCTTGAAGGGCATGACAGTCATCTAAATTTCTTATCCTTCCTATTATCTTAGCATCATCAGCAAACATGTTCATATAATTCTGTATACCAACTGGTAGATCATTTATGTACACAATAAACATCACTGGTGCAAGAACTGAACCCTGTGGTACTCCACTTGTGACATTTCTCCATTCTGATACATTGCCTCTGATTACTGCCCTCATTTTTCTATCAGTCAGAAAATTTTTCATCCATGATAGAAGCTTACCTGTCACCCCTCCAATATTTTCCAGTTTCCAGAACAACCTCTTATGTGGAACTCTGTCGAAAGCCTTTTTTAGGTCCAGATAGATGCAGTCAACCCAACCATCTCTTTCCTGTAATATCTCTGTGGCTCGATCATAGAAACTGAGTAAATTCGATACACAGGATCTTCCAGATCGAAAACCATACTGTCTGTCTGATATTATATCATTTCTCTCTAGGTGTTCTACCCATTTAGTTTTGATTAGTTTTTCCAATACTTTCACTATTACACTTGTCAATGATACAGGTCTATAATTGAGGGGGTCTTCCCTGCTGCCACTTTTGTAGATTGGAACTATGTTAGCCTGTTTCCACCCGTCTGCTACGATTCCTGTACACAGGGATGCCTGAAAGATCAGGTGAAGTGGAATGCTGAGCTCAGATGCACATTCTCTCAGAACCCATGGTGAAACGCCATCTGGGCCAGCTGCTTTGTTCTTACCGAGCTCCTTGAGCATTTTTTCCACTTCGTCTCTAGACACCTCTATGTGTTCTATGTTGTTCTCTGGAATTCTTATTGTATCTGGTTCCCTAAAGATTTCATTTTGTACAAACACACTTTGGAACTTTTCGTTTAGTGTTTCACACATTTCCTTTTCATCTTCCGTGAATCTATTTCCCATTTTCAACCTCTGAATATTATCCTTTACCTGCAATTTGTTGTTTATGAATTTATAGAATAGACCTGGTTCTGTTTTACATTTGTCCGCAATCCCTTTTCCAAAATTTCTTTCTGCCTCTCTCCTCACTGCCGTGTAGTTGTTTCTCGCATCTTTGTATCGCTGGTATGTTTGGGGGTTCGGCCTCTTCCTGTATTGATTCCATTTTTGTGTCTTTCGGTCTCTAGCCCTCTCGCAATTTCTATTGAACCAATCCTGTTTCCTAGTTCTGCATCTCTGTTTTGGTATAAATTTTGTTGTGCCTTTATCATATATTTCACAAAACTTGCCATACATCTCATTCACTTCCTTGCCTAGCATCAAGTCTGTCCAATTATACTCACTAAAAAAATTTCTAAGGTCACCATAATGTCCTCTCCTGAAGTCTGGTTTTTCAACTGCTTCAACCTCCTTATTTTCTTCCAGCTTATAACGCATTGCATACTTTATTCCCAAAAGACATGGTCACTTTTACCCAAGGGAGGAAGGTACTGAATGTCAAATATCTCTTCCTCCTTCCTGGTAAATATCAAATCTAGCATGGAGGGAACGTCCCCTTCCCTCATCCTCGTAGCTTGTTTAACATGTTGATACAAGAATGTTTCCAGGATGAGGTCTACAAATTTACAGGTCCAAAAATCTTCTGTTTTAGCTTCATATGCTTCCCAGTCTATGGATTTCAAGTTGAAGTCACCGACTATCAACAGTCGTGATCTATCGTTATCCGCTCTCGCTATAATCTCTCTCATTATTGTTATAAGACCTTCACGTTTACTATCTAGCTCCTCCTTTGACCATGTGCTGCTTGGCGGTGGACTATATGCATTTATCATCATTAGTTTATCATCCTCATAGCAGATCTCTAGTGCTATTATGTCAACTTCTTGTGGATTGGCAGTCATTATTTCCTTCACCTTTAGGTGTTCTTTTACCAGCACAGCAACGCCACCGCCTTTCCTAATTTTTCTGTCCCGTCTCCAAATTGAGTAGCCCCTTGGGAATATGACCTCATTTAAAATTACATCTTCAAGTTTTGTCTCCGTGAGTGCAACAATGTCTGGTGTCTGCAGCTGTATTACATCACTTAACTCCAGTATCTTCGATCTCACTCCATCTATGTTGGTGTATGCAATCTTCAGGAACTTGTTCCCCCTCTCCTTATTCTTCACTCCCCCTCTCTCTATTGATTTTGTTGGTTTGCCTTTATGTACCACTTTACTGGTTTGCCTACCCCTATCACTTTGTAGAAAAAAGAATTTATTTCTTCTTCATTCCTGCTCTCATTTAAATGTTTTGCCTCGGCGAGGTTCAGTTTCAGCTTCTCTCTATCTTCTTTTGAAAGATCTCGTCTTAACGACCACCCTTTCCCATCCTCATCCCTTTGCAATTTTCTAGCATTCCTTAGTACTTCTTCCATCTGTTTGGCACCGTTTAGGGTGATCCTCAAAGGTCGATCTTTCCCTTTTACGTACCTGCCTATTCTCCTGTAGTCGCACACATTCTCTCTGTTTGTAAGACCTTCCACGAGGCCAACAATTTTATCTACTACTTTAGCTTCTTCTACAGCTCTTTCTGACCTAGATGTTATCGCCTTTTCTTTGCAGCCAAAAATGATCAGGGACTTACTCCGATCAACTGTGTTTTGCACCAACTTCGGGTTAGATGCCAATTCTTTCCTCACTTCTAGCCTAATGTTTGTTTTATCTTGGTTGCTGCAGTGTTTGACTTCCTTTACTGCTTCTTCTATTTTTTCCTTCTCCTTGGCCACTTGTGCATAAGTGAGTTGCATATCTTTCTTGCACTGTTCTATTCCCTGTGTAACTTCCTCCATCTGTGCTGACAAAAGCTGTTTCTCCTGTTGAATTTCCTTGCCTAACCTATTGTAGTCATTTATGTTTAAATTAAATTAAATTGTGTTGATGAGATGAGGTTATCTCAAATTAGACCTAATATAAATGAGAATTCCTGACAAAAACAAGCTCATGCCTCTCACTGTGTTTATATACTTAAAGTTACATATGTAAGAGACTTGTCCATAGGTATATTTTGGGAATGAATATTTTTTTTCCATATAGCTGTATTGTTTTATAATTTTTGGAGATCACGTGACCATAATATGAGGTAGATGAGTTCTATGTTATGAATCAAGCACTAAAAGAAGTTTGTTTTTGTCTTGAATGTATTACTTATCAATACAAACTTTGGTCCTGTGCTAGGCTAATTTTTATTCCAAAAAGTGCATCACAGAAAAAAGCTTGAGATCCATTGGGTTAGGTTATGATAGGTTTTGTTAAATTATGTTGGTTAGGTTAGGCTAGGCTGGGCTAGGTTACATTTGGTTAGTTTATGATAGGTTAGGTTATGTTAGGTAAGGTTAGGTTATTTTAGGTTAGACTAGGCTAAGTTTAGTTTAGTCTTTCTATACTAACCTTTGTTGCCTCTAGGGTCTTGAATAGCCCTTGAGAGTTCTATCTGGCCGTGAACCTTATACTTGCCATACCCTTCAGGCATGGCAATACCCAGACTGAAGGGCGTTCCACCTATTTTTTGCGTTAAGTACCGCTGCTTCCTCTGCACGACACGCTTCTGTGGAAGCCCAGGAGGGGGAAGCTTTAAATACGAATAAAAAGAGGATAGATCATTTGGTATTGTATAGAATAATAACAACAGCAACAGAAAAACCATAGAAATTAAACTGTAACTGACATGGATTCTGGTCAAATCGTATACAAGATGTTTCAACAAAGCATGCTTTCTGAGAGAAGGAATATTAAATATCATTAGGTTAGGATATAGAATTAGGATAGCTTATATTAGGCTCTGTTAAGGTTGGATGGGTTTTGTAAATTTAGTTTGGATTGAGTTAGGTTAGCTTGGGTTAGGGTAGATTAGGACCAATTTGTAGATTAAAGACCAAATTTAAAGGCTTATCTGGCTTTACCCATATCTTGGCATTTATTTATTTTGTTTATTTGAAGAGATGATTGAATGGTTTCCCAACCTACAATGACCCATATCTACTCCTTGATCCCTCAAGAGCTCGAGTCTGGATCTCGAAGGTGGAAGCCAGTAGGAGTCAAAACAATGAATGTAAACTGGATAAGTTTAGATTCTGCAAAGCCCAGGGTAAATACTGGTGTTGGAAAAGGGCTCCTGACTTATGGAACAAATTACCGGGTAACATAACAGACATGGATCACTTGATTGTTTCAAGCATAGGTTAGACATATATGAATGAGTCTGGGTGGATATAAATAGTAACTGCTTCTTTTGGGTCAATAGGCCTTCCTCAGTTGCCTTTATTCTTATACCCTCATGTTTTTATGTATTATGAACACTCTCCCAGCCACAGAAGAAGAGGAAGGCTGTGAAGCCGTCATACATTCACTACATATATGCTGGATAGAATTGTATAAATAAATGGTCCCGTCTGTTATAGAAAATAAACAAAAAAAAAAACTCTCAAAAGACTCAAACCTGGGTCGTATATTTTATAAATACAATAGTTTGAATGATAATATGTAAATCTTGATAATCACTTGATATTCTTACTACTTGACACTTGATTACCTGATAATCAAGTAAATCACTTGAACAACATTGTAGGTAATAATTAAAAATAACATGAAAGCAGAGGGCCTTCAGGACAAGGCTTTCATATATAAATTCTTTATCTATAATATCAGATAATAAATAACTAAATTACTACAGAATTAGTACATGTTCCTCTTAAATTCAATTACAATTTATATTTAATCCTTATGTCATTAGAAATACTTTCCGCATATATTTACAATTATTCTATTGAGTGCCTAGCTTCAGCCAAAAGACTTTTTTTAAATAGATTAGTGACTTTAAGATTCAAATTCAGGACTACAGTGTACTTGATGGTTGGTCAGTAATCACTTCTGTGGCATTAATTATCATCTATAGGTTGATAGGCATTAAAACCAATACCATACCAATTAAAGTTCTGATATAAATATCTTGGATCTAAGGAAGAAATATGATTGATTGATTGATTGATTGATTTAATTTACTCACTAATAATTTACTATAATTTATTTTTTTAAAATTTACTATAATTTACTATAATTTATTTATTTACTCACTATAATGTTGATGCTGAAGGTAGAACATAAAAACATAGTTTTACTCTAAAATAATATAAGTTTATAACGAAATTAGACAAAACTAAGTGGCATGAGACGCCATAGGAAGTCGACGATCCAAGCGACAATGTTGTGGAGCGACTTATCCTAGATATACTGTTGCCTACAGGTTAAATTAAGTGAGGTTTGGATAGGTTAGATTAGTTAGGTTAGGTTTTGTTAGGTTATGTTTTCTTAGGTTGAAAGAAAAGTTATGTAAGAAGTTATGGTTTCTTAGGTTTGGGCAGGTTGGTTAGGTTAGGTAAGTACAGAAGGCTGATATGCCAGCAAACACTCTCCAAGTAACAATGTTTCTTGGATAAGTTGCTCCACAACATTGTCGCTTGGACCGTCGACTTGCTATGGCGTCACCAACAGCTTATTTTCGTCTAATTTCGTTATGAAATGATAGTTTTTCAGAGTAAAAATGTTTTTCCATGTTCTACATTCAGCACTAACGTTATAATGAATAAATATATCATATTTATTCATTACTAACGAAATGTCAGGAAGCTTTGAGTAGCTTTGGGTAATTAGGTGGACCCCCTCACGGGTTTTATTACACCTTGGATCCTTGGCGTCGGCAAGAAACAATGGGCAGAGTTTCTTTCACCCTATGCCCCTGTTACCTAGCAGTAAATAGGTACCTGGGAGTTAGTCAGCTGTCACAGGCTGCTTCCTGGTGTGTGTGTGTGTGGTGTGGAAAAATAGTAATAGTAGTAGTTAGAAACAGTTGATTGACAGTTGAGAGGCGGGCTGAAAGAGAAGAGCTCAACCCCCGCTAGCACAACTAGGTGAATACAACGGGTCCGTCTAATTACCACAAGCTACCACAAGCTACACAAGCTTCAGAAAGCTTCCTGGCAATACGTTAGTAATGAATAAATATGTTAGGTTAGGCTAACCTAACCTAACCTAACCTATCCTAACCTAACCTAACCTAACCTAACCTAACTTAACCAAACCAAACCTAACCTAACCTAACCGACGCTTGGATCGTCGCAGTCTGTGGACAAATGGGCAAAGTTTCTTTCACCCTAAGTGCCCCTGTTACCTAGCAGTAAATAGGTACCTGGGAGTTAGTCAGCTGTCACGGGCTGCTTCCTGGGGGGTGTGTGTGTGTGGTGTAGAAAAAAAAAAAAATAATAATAATTAGTAAACAGTTGATTGACAGTTGAGAGGCGGGCCGAAAGAGCAAAGCTCAACCCCCGCAAAAACACAACTAGTAAACCTATCAAGTAAAAGTTTGAGATCAAGATTAGCATTTAGGAACGTTTTGTACATGTAGATAGCTCATGAGAATGTGTGGAGTGTATGTTTAGCATGTTAAGGGATTTAAATAGAGGGGTTGTGTATTCACCTAGTTGTATTCGGTCCGTCTAATTACCACAAGCTACACAAGCTTTAGAAAGCTTCCTGGCAATACGTTAGTAATGAATAAATATGATATATTTACTCATTATAATGTTGGTGCTAAATGTACAACACGAAAAAACATAATTTTAATCTGAAAAAGTATCTTTTTATAAAGAAATTAGGCGAAAATAAAAAGCTGGTGACGCCAAATCAAGTCGACGATCCAAGCGTCGGTTAGGTTAGGTTAGGTTTGGTTTGGTTAAGTTAGGTTAGGTTAGGTTAGGTCAGCCTAACCTAACATATCATATTTATTCATTACTAACGTATTGCCAGGAAGCTTTCTGAAGCTTGTGTTGCTTGTGGTAGCTTGTGGTAATTAGACGGACCCGTTGTATTCACCTAGTTGTGCTAGCGGGGGTTGAGCTCTTCTCTTTCAGCCCGCCTCTCAACTGTCAATCAACTGTTTCTAACAACTACTACTACTATTTTTCCACACCACACACCCACACACCAGGAAGCAGCCTGTGACAGCTGACTAACTCCCAGGTACCTATTTACTGCTAGGTAACAGGGGCATAGGGTGAAAGAAACTCTGCCCATTGTTTCTTGCCGACGCCAAGGATCGAACCCTGGACTACAGAATCACGTGTCCAGCGTGCTGTCCGCTGGGCCACCGGCCCCCTTCCTAAGGGGCCGGTGGTGGGGAAGGGCCGGTGATGGGGAAGGGCCGGGGGGGGGGGGGGGAGGTGTGTTGTTAAGACAGAGTTTGTTACAGTTCTAATAGTAACTGAGTGAATTACATGAAGTCATGAAAGGGTTCATAAGCCTTACCATGCCGTCCATGTGAATTTTGACATCGAGAACGGCTTCAACATTTCGCTGCTCAATCAAGTCGCGACGAAGCTGGAAAACAGTATCGGATGAGTAAACATAAATTTAAAGGGCAGAATCAGTACCCTCGTTTTCTTTTCGAGAAGAACTGGATACCCTGGGATGTATGTATATGTAAGCTAAGAAATATCTGTCAAAGCTTTAGAGCAGGTTGCAGACATCCAGATATTTGATAACTCGACTGAAAATTTGGGTGCTATTTTGAGATGGCATCTTTGTTATTTGTCGAATTTTAAGACAAATTTCAGTCGTGCTCTCGAATATCGCAGTGGTAAAGAAAACGTATGCTGATTATGCCCAGACTATTATACCAGTTAGCGTGTAGAAGCCTCGGTAACACTTCTCTATTGGGATAAAATGTCAAAGCACTGTAAGTTGAGGAAGTAAAGTTGGATTACTGTTTAGAATCAGTTAATAGGATTCACAGGTTTGGATGAGTTTAAGGGACGGTTATTGGGTATTTATCTTAATTCTACGAGTATCAGAAGAAAAGAGGGAAGATGCAGGTCATAGACTGTGTTAAGGCGGAAAAGGGAAGGTCAGTCTTGCTGGTGGATACCCATAGAATCCAGATTAAAAGGAAGAGTGAGGTGAAAAACCGGAGATGATGCAGAAAAAAAGGATAAAATAGGAGATGGAAAGAGGAACTGCAATGGCAAATACACTAAATGGTTATAAGGGAAATCACAAGAAAAATATGGGTAAATACAAATGACAAAATAAAAAATACAGAAAACCATTTTACTTATAAAATGCGAACAAAGCATCACAGTAGTTCAAGATTATGACAGCATCACACGAGCCCAGATCCTGACAGAATCTCAACAGTCTAAGATCCTGACAGAATCTCATAGTCCAAGATGCTGACAGCATATCAGTAATGTCCCTGACATTATCTCAGCAGACCAAGATTCCGACAGCATCTCAACGGTCTTAGATTCTGACAGTATCTCAACAGTCTAAGATCCTGACAGCATCTCGACAACAGTCTAAGATCCTGACAGCATCTCAACAGTCTAAGATCCTGACAGCATCTCAACAGTCTAAGATCCTGACAGCATCTCAACAGTCTAAGATCCTGACAGCATCTCAACAGTCTAAGATCCTGACAGCATCTCAACAGTCTAAGATCCTGACAGCATCTCAACAGTCTAAGATCCTGACAGCATCTCAACAGTCCAAAAATATTGACACGATCCATGCCGGGTCAAATTTGCTTCAACATCAAAATTGTCATTTCTTTTGAATTAAAATTTTGTGAGAAAATTACATTATGCAACATTAAAATAATATATCAAAAAAGGAAGGTTAGAATGTTAGAGTAACAGGGCTATATGTAAGTATATTTAAGTGTTTATGTAATATATTGAGAAACAGAATCGAAATGTTGAATATTTTTTTTTACTCATTGACAAAAGGGCTTAAATTTTAACATGTAAAGTATCACTTTTTCCAAATTCTAATCATCTCTACACTAAAACTTTATCTCAATATGGCTTCATAAACTACACTATTTCTTGCGGAATTAATACATCTAAATTGGTAGTATTTCTACACTGTTGCAGCAGTTTGTGAGAGAATTATAAAGGGTTTCATACAACAGCTCTATTTTTGTTAGTCTATTTTTACCTGATTTTTGTTTGCGAACACGTTAAAAAATGATTTAGTGCGGTTAAGACCTTGTGAAAGGGGAGGCGAGGCTGGTGTTTCCAGGTGCTCTGCTCTGAAACGAACACTAGAACACCATAAACATAAGGCAGAAGATACCTCGTATTGTACACTAACACGCCTGAATATGGAAAACATGAACACGTACTGGAGATCTCATCTCCCACTATCGTCACGTGAAATAATCGATTCCTGAGGCCATCTCAAACACTGCTAGTGCTGTGTTCCATTCAGTTGTGAGAGGCAGGCAGGACTCAGAAGAACAGAGCACACAGCAGACTATTAAGTATTTTGTGATCCTTAACCCCAAAATAAATTACTTCAGCTCCAAGACACATTACCCCAAATAATATAGTGCGTTAGGCCCGTGTGTTCTGTGCTCACTGAACTCTGTTCTTCTACCACATATATATATATATATATATATATATATATATATATATATATATATATATATATATATATATATATATATATATATATATATATATATATATATATATATATATATATATATATATATATATATATATATATATATATATATATATATATATATATATATATATGCGAACAAGCTTAAATGGCATCTCAATAGCCTAAGATCCTGACAGCATCTCAACAGCCCAAGATCCTGACAGCACACTTACTCTATATTACATGAGGAAGGCAGGTATATTATTGTTAGTATTGGGGAACAAATTCACTAATTGTCAACAGGTGCCGCCTAAGGCAACTAGCTGTGACAGCTGGAAGATAAGAAATCCAAGCTTTCCGCTGCAAGATAAGAGATCCAAGCTAATCCTACAAAAGCTGGTTGATAGGGTATTAACAGTCACACCACAATCGACTACCATGTAATCCCTCTCCCTTGTTCTTGTAATTAACAAAATCATTGCGATATTTGTGTCGCAATAAGATTTTATTTAACATAAAAGTGACTTTTCTGGAGGCATACAAAGTTTACGTCAACAGCTTTTTTTATAATTTGGAAAAGACCATTGGAAACCCATACCCCCAGCACTGTCCACTAGGCTGGGACCAATAGCATTACATGCGTAAGTATCCAACAGATGCCACACACAAGGAAAAATACACACACTACTTGGATTCACTTTAAGAATTGAATTTTGTGTAACTAAAATATTGATGTTATAAATATTTTAACTTTTATTATGCTTTTTTTGTTTTTTTTTAACCAAATAATTGATGGTTTAAAGTATTAATTGTTATGTTTATCTAGTTTTTGTAACCCGTTCTCGCACTTGCTTTCTGTCAATATTGGCTTATTTAATAAATGCATATGTGACATACTAATTGATTGTGAATATTTTAGTTTACCTTGAAAAGCTTCATAGAAAACACCGACCTCACCTAACCTTCTTAGTATGTTAAGATAAGCATCTTATTGCTTCTTAATTACAATTATTACTTAACTTATACCGGTGATAGGTTAAGTAATAATTGTAAATAAGAAGCAATAAGATGCTTATCTTAACATACTAAGAAGGTTAGATGAGGTCGGTGCTTTCTATGAAGCTTTTCAAGGTAAACTAAAATATTCACAATCAATTAGTATGTCACATATGCACTTATTAAATAAGCCAATATTGACTATAAGCAAGTGCGAGAACGGGTTGGGTTTCATGGTATGTGAAGCCAAGGTGAGTATGCCATATGTTAGTATTCACATCACTGTTGCCAAATTTCCAGTCATGCTTTGTCATTCAGAGAGCAGGTGTGAAAGAGGGTTGATCGAGCCGGTCTATCAGGTCAAGTACTCCACCCTTTCAACTGCAACACCGATGGCAGGATATAGACAATTTGGTATTCAGAAGAATAACACACACACACACGCATTAATTAGCAGACTCGAAGATGCCCATATTACATAGCATTAGGAAAGTCACAAACGCTAGGTAGCAAATGACTAAGAGAGCAGTTCTAAGAGTCCTTCAGCTAAGAGGACAGGCATGGTCCTCAGCCTCTTAACCAAGAAGAAAGAGGTAGACGTTTCTTAGGCTCCTCAACCCCGTGGTTAGAGACCGTCTTTAGCCTCCAAAGTCAAGAAGGAACAACAAAATACAATTTCCTCAGGACTTTGGCTACTAAGAAGATGGCTGCCTCATCAAGAGCTCCTTAACCAGGAGGACTGAGGAAGCTCTTCCACCCAACCTCTTCCTCTTGAGACTCTGCTCGAGGATATCAAGAGGGATGAGAGCAAGGGAACGATCAAGACACCAGACTCCCTCCGCTCTGGAGTCTGACAAGTCACCTTGCTATAATAATCTCTCCATCCAGTCAGCTGTTCACACAACATGGAAAAGGAAGAAAAAAATATCCAGAATATTCATACAAATTAAAATAAGTTTGGAATGTTTAAGTAAAAAGTTGAATTCTGAAATCTTTCAATTTGGTTATCATGTTAAAGAGAGTTCAAAAACAGATCTGTTCTGATTTATGCAATTTCACTGAAGGTTTAATATATAAAATAATTTGACATTTATTATTTAAATGCGTAATAAATTTTTGAATTTACTAAACTGCCAAATGTGACTCACATTAAGTAGCTTAGAATCAAATATTAAAAAAAGCAGAAAGACCATTAAGAGCAAAGAGTTATTTGTATTGATTAGAGGACAAGAGTTAATTTTGACCAAAATATGCTTCAAGAGTTAAGAATACAAAAGCTAGAGGCAAAGAATGAGAATTAGTATGATTTTTTTATGTATTTAAACTTGCATGTTGACCTATTAAGCTCATTTGCATAAAACATAATTATCAAGAATGAGCATTCTTTTCAGAATTCGAAATTCTAAGCTACTACGAAACATTAAATAAAATATATAAACACGTATATATATATATATATATATATATATATATATATATATATATATATATATATATATATATATATATATATATATATATATATATATATATATATATATATATATATATATATATATATATATATATATATATATATATATATATATATATATATATATATATATATATACGTGTTTATTTACATTATCACATTCATGTTATTCAAACGTAAATATTTTTCAAATATCTTTGACAAGTTACTTCAAGAACACTTACAAGAAATTAAAATATTTTGAAATAATTCAACATAAACCCAAAATTTTGTTTTCTCATCTAGCTGTATTGACAATCTGTAATACCTAGCAGTATTTAGTAGCTTTATTTACCTACCTTTATAATGAGTTTTTGGCTCATTATTTTCCTCCTGTTTAGCCTTTTGGCTCATCGGTCAAATAGTCTGTCCTTTTTATATCCTATAATTTCCATTGGGGATCTGATATGTAATGATCATGTCTCCCGTTTTTCTTATCTAGTGTTGTGAGAATTAGTTACTTTCTCTTATTCTCGAAAATCAGACGTTTCAGCTCTAAAGGTAATCTGTTGGTATATATCTGGGTTTCAGTCAGCTTAGTTTTGAGTGTCATGATATATAGTCTTGTGCAGGCTTCAGTGACTGTGTGTGTGTGTTGACTAACTGCACGTCGACTGCCTTCAAGAGAGTAAGTCGACTGCCTTCTATATAACAGGTCGACTATTCCCTAATAGAGTCAAGGTTGGACTTACCGCGAGCAGCTCCGAGTGGTTGGAGCGAGGGCCGGACTCGATATCCGTCAACTCGACCTCAACGAAGTCGACGCTGTTGTAATTAGGCTTCAAAATGTCTTGAAACTGTATGGGGAAGGGAGGGAAGGATTTCGACGGGGAAAAGAGACAGATGTAGGCAGATGAAAAGAAAGAGAGATCAAAGGGAAGGTGTATGGAAGAAAACAAATAGGAAAGCGTAATAAAGAATTAAATTAAAAGCAAATTAAAACAGAGATGGAGAAACGAACACATAGCAATACAGAGAGAAAATAGAGGACCGAAAAACAAACGCATGAATGTAAACAGGAACAGAAAAAAAAAAATTGAATGAAGATGTGGAAGTAGGAGAGGAGAAGAGAGGAGAGGAGAGAAGGAAAAATATAAAAGCATTAATGACCGCATCTGGACATAGTAAATATAATGCGCATATAATTTCTATGTTGAGTATGCTTGTGACATATGGGACATCTCTTGTGAGTTGATATTCCAGCATGGACTTTGCTAGGACAAGTAGACATGGAAAGAATGAAATGACATCTTGAGAGCTATGGAAAAAAAATCAATTTTCTAAGTGGAAAAAATAATATATATATATATATATATATATATATATATATATATATATATATATATATATATATATATATATATATATATATAGTTTTCATGAATTATATATATATATATATATATATATATATATATATATATATATATATCTATATATATATATATATATATGTCGTACCTAGTAGCCAGAACGCACTTCTCAGCCTACTATGCAAGGCTCGATTTGCCTAATAAGCTAAGTTTTCATGAATTAATTGTTTTTTCGACTACCGAACCTACCTAACCTAACCTAACCTAACTTTTTCGGCTACCTAACCTAACCTAACCTATAAAGATAGGTTAGGTTAGGTTAGGTAGGGTTGGTTAGGTTCGGTCATATATCTATGTTAATTTTAACTCCAAAAAAAAAATTGACCTCATACATAATGAAATGGGTTGCTTTATCATTTCATAAGAAAAAAATTAGAGAAAATATATTAATTCAGGAAAACTTGGCTTATTAGGCAAATCGGGCCTTGCATAGTAGGCTGAGAAGTGCGTTCTGGCTACTAGGTACGACATATATATATATATATATATACATATATATATATATATATATATATATATATATATATATATATATATATATATATATATATATATATATATATATATATATATATATATATATATATATATATATATATATTTATATTTATATATAATATGTGTGTATGTATGTGTTTGTGTGTGTGTGTTTACTCACCTAGAAGAGTGTGTGTGTATGTATGCTTCTGTGTGTAATTAAAACTCATTCTAGAGGTTCTATTATTCTATTTAATTTGTTAAAAGAACTACAAATATTTAATTGACCTTCGACTTAATACCACAAGGGGGGAAATACAGTAATATTGTATGTAATATGGATTAATGTATGCAGGCAATAGAAGTCTTCGTAAAAGTGCAAGGCAAACTAGTCATTTGTTTAAGTGCAAGTTATATTACTCTTAAGTGCATGACTTCTTTAAGTGCATATTGTGCCAGTCTTCGTTTTAAGTGCATAATGTGCCAGTCTTTGTTTAAGAGCATGAATACATTGCCTGTCTTCTTTTAAGCGCATGACACACTAGTCTTTTGTTTAAGTGCATGAAGGAAAAGAGGAAAAAGCTAGTGTTACTTAAAGTGCAAAGATAAGCGGCTACGCTTACTATGGTGAGAAGATACTTAAGGTTGAGTGCTGTTGGTGACTGAGTGTACTCTGGTAGAAGGTGTGAGGAGTGAGAGTGTGTGTGTGTGTGTGTGTACTCAAGAAGTGAATGTGAGAGGAGTCAGTTTACTCAGTATGATGAGTGAGGAGTGAGTTTAATCATTATGATGTGTGAGGAGTGAGTGTAACTCTGGTGGAGGTAAGATGAGTGAGTGTACTCTAACATCGGATACCAATATTACCACAATATATATTTATTACCCACAGTAGTCTACATTGTTCATAAGGATTTTATATGATATTGATGGCAGTTTTCATCAATATATTGATGACAGTTAATGGTGGCTTAGCTAACAGTGTCTATGGAGGTGTGGGGTGAGGTCTAGCTCTCCATACCCCGCCTACCGTCCCTGCTGTGCATGTTGTATTGTAATTTAACTACTTTGACGCTCAAATTCTTTGTCGAATCTAGCTTTAAAATTGTGGATGGAGGTGGCTCCAGCATCTTTTTTTTTTCAGTGCATTCCACTTGTTGACAACCCGTATAGGGTGGTCGATGATCGAGTATATTACCTAGCATTCCTTCAGTTCGTATGCGTTTCCATCTTTCACCTGTGTCTTCTTGTCCTGTTTTCTCTCAGTCTGAAGAGGCCAGCTTTGTCCACCTTATCTATTTGCCGTATCTTTTATATTGTGATCATTTCCCCCTCTGTTCCTTCTGTCCTTCAGGGTCGTGAGATTTACTTCCATTAGCCTATCTCGTAGCCTAACTCTCTTAGCCCTGGCACAGATCTTTTTGCAAATCTCTGTTTTTTTTTAAATTTTGGTTTTATGCTTTGCAAGGTGCGGAATCCATGTCGGTGCTGCATATTCCAGTATTGGTCTAAGAAATATTGTGTAGATTGCCTTGAAGGAGTGTTGATTTAGGTTTCTAAACGATGTTTTTATATTTGCCAGTGTTCCATATGCTGCCAGTGTTATTGTGTTTATGGGTGTCTCCGGTGTGAGTGTCGGAATTATATCCACTCCCAGATCCTTCTCTCTTTCCGATTCCTGTAGTTGCCTTCCCCTTATACTACTTCAGCAACCATTTGCTTGACCACTTCCCTAGCTTGCCAAGGTTCTCTTGTAACTTCCTGCAGTCCAAAACTGTTTTTACATTACTCATCAGCTTTGCATCATCAGAAAACATTAACAGTTACGAGCTCACTTCATCGGGTAGGTCGTTCATACCAATTAGGAATAGCAGTGGACCCTGGACCGAGCCTTCTGGACCCCACTTACCTGGTTGATACCTGGTTGATGGGGTTCTGGGAGTTCTTCTACTCCCCAAGCCCGGCCCGAGGCCAGGCTCGACTTGTGAGAGTTTGGTCCACCAGGCTGTTGCTTGGAGCGGCAGCCTAGTGGACCAAACTCTCACAAGTCAAGCTACTTGTTACTTGTTACATTTCTCCAGCTTAAAACGTTCTATCTGTCTTTGACTCCGTTTTCTGTTTTTTCCAGATACTCTCTTACCCAGCTTCGTGTTTTCCTCGTTATTCCAGCCTGAATCTCCGTCTTGCACACACTAGTCTTTCACGAGGAACAGTGCCAAATGCTTTTTGACAATCTAGGAGAATACAGTCTATAATAGCCTTCTTTTTTGGTCACAGTAACCCTGTCACAGAACTCAGTCAAATTTGTCAGGAAAGACTTCTCTACTGGAGCGAGTATTGATATAGGATACTCGCTACACTACTAACTCAGGTGTATTCGTATACTTTACTGCCAGTCTATTATCCTCTGTTCCTAGTTCTCTACACTTTATCCATTTTTTGTTGTCCTTACTTAAGCTTTTCAGCATTGCTTCTTGAACCAGGGATTTTCTTTACTTTGTCTTCCATCTCTTTTTTGAGAGGTACAAAATGCTCTGTTGCATCAGCACATTTATCAGCAAGGAAGTCTATCATCACATTTGCTGTCTTCCCTTCCATTTATCTTCCCCGTCGGATTTCACGCAGAAATTACCATTTTATCGTAGTCCCCCCTCTGTAATCTCTCTCTTCTTCAACAGGTTTGTGTAAACAATTCTTTCAGCGCCGCTATGTAGTGAAGCGTGACGGTACAGTAGTCACTAGCTTCTACAGGCATCTCTATTTTTGTGGCAGAGGTAGTGGTGGTGGTGGTGGTGGTGGTAGTGAAGTTGATGGGAGTGGTGGTAGTGATAGATGTAGTGATGTTGATAGGAGTGGTGGTAGAAGTGGTGATGGTGGTGATGTTGGAGGAAGGACGTGCAACTCAGCTTGAATAGTGAACATAAATGTATATGGATTCTTAATAAAAGTACCAGCCTTCCCCTTCCCCTTCCCCAACCTCCATAACCCCCTCTCCCGTGGCTTCATAACTTGCCTTCCCAGTGGTTCAGTTTGTCTCTAAATTATAGTTTCAGTAAACAATCCCCGGATTAAGTGAATAAGAGAGGAAAGGCTTTAGGTGGTGAGATTAAATGTATATATATATAATATATATATATATATATATATATATATATATATATATATATATATATATATATATATATATATATATATATATATATATATATATATATGCAATAGCTATGCGAACGAGTATCGATAATAATGATTATGTTAATTCAAAAGATTTTCTAAAACATTGAATAAAAAAAAGAACGAAAAATGGATGCTCTTGCTTCGAAAAGTTGCCCAGCTAATGGCAGCTCCGTCTAAAAACCCAGAGAAACCATAGATCATTAGATAACAAACTCACACACACACACAATATATAAATATATATATATATATATATATATATATATATATATATATATATATATATATATATATATATATATATATATATATATATATATATATATATATATATATATATATATATATATATATATATATATATATATATATATATTATATATTCGTCTGAGTTCATGCAGATGGTGATTAATTGGTTACTACATAAAGTCCTGATTGAGAGACATTCCTCTTAAAACCAACAAAAAAATGCAAAATAAAACCATGTAAAATACACACAAATAAGAAAGTAGAATTAACTTGCACACGCAAATCAAAATATAATCAGTTTGCACACGCAAAAAAACAAAATAATATATAAATATATATTATCAAAGTCTGGAAGAAAATAATAAGATGTTAAAAAAATCAAATTATAAAGACATCAGGAATTCTGGAAATAGATATATACGTATTATATAAATAGTTCAAATTATTAACATATATATATATATATATATATATATATATATTGTTAATAAGAAAAAATAATAAAGATATTAAAGGAAAAATATTAAACATCTAAATTATAATGTTAATAAAAATAATAGTAAGGATGAAAATAATGATAACAATAATAAAGCTACTGCAACTACTTAGATAATAACAATAATAATAATTGTAGAAAATAACATCATTGATAACATTAAGCAGAATATTAATTTTGGCAGCCTTGTAGTGGTTGTCCACTGCCAATATTGTGCATTGTGTCAGACACACCTTAAATATCATTATTATATTATATCACCATGAAAACAAGTGTATACGTGCATGTGTGTGTATGTGTGTGGTGTGTGTGTGTGATCTCCTTTTGAAATAATGTTACTGAGTAGTGTCAATGTTAAGTATGTGCAGTGACGAGGTGTTACGTTACTCCAACACATGCAGCTGGCACCGCAGTCACCGCTTGCTAATGGTTCCCGTGGCGGTGGCTGGCTGTGAGTATTGGTGTTATCTCCATAACACAGCTAGAGTACCTGATACAGTGCCACTGATACGTCCGCAAGCTCTGTGGAACTGGGAAAGCCATGAGCAATGTTTACGGGTGATGTAGGTCAGGTAAATATATATATATATATGGTTGGCTCAGTTTGCTTCATGTGCAGCGCCTCACTGATAATCAGTCTTCAATTATAGTTGTATCTGTTGCTTATTTTAGTGTTGTTTGACATGATATTTCGTGTGGTGATCAGGTTGGTTGCTTGTAGATGGGTTGTTGGTTGTTCCTTGATGGGGCCTTGTTATTTGGGCATAAAAAATGTTGTCTTGCCCATGTAAAGGCAATGACGTCATTCGTCTTTTTCAAAGCGTTTTCTTTGGTGTTGGGCGAGTCTTTCAGACCATCTCCAGAGATATCCTTGTCAAACAACGCTAAAATAATCGAAAGATGTTACGACAATAGGAGATCGACGAGGCACTGTACTGCTCGTACCTATCAGGACACTCACATTTAGCCTTAAGGTACATTCCTGTGTTGGTTCCCTTAGTGTGGACTGCGGAGTTAAAACCACCATTCCTTTTCGAGACTGTTACATCAAAGGTAGTCTACCTCCACTCTCAATCTCATAAGTGGACCTTAGCACTTTGTTCGAATGCATCCTTAAGCCACAGCAAGTGCTCAGTATTTGACACCTGGAGGTATATTTTATCCACATATCTGGATTATACATTCGGTTTTAGGCTCATATTTACGTGAGTACCTTCAAATGGAAAGTCCTTGCTGACAAGGTAAAACAAATAAATATGATTGATTAAAAATTTTCAAAACTGGTTTCAAAACTTAACATTTTGCATAAATACTTTTTGATGTGACAAGTGACGGCTAGGATGGTACCTAGGACGGTACCTAGGATGGTACCTAGGATGGTACCTAGGATGGTACCTAGGATGGTACCTAGGATGGTACCTAGGACGGTACCTAGGATGACACCTAGGATGGTGCCTAGGACGGTGCCTAGGACGACACCTAGGACGGTACCTAGGAAGGTACAAGTACCACTGCAACACTCAAGAAGATAATGAATAATAACATTATAACCCGGATGAACAATTTCCCTGGAACTGAGCAATATACATCACATATGGATGGCACTCCAGATCATCAGCGAACAAGATGATATAATTAATTAAGAGAAAAAGTCTGTTCACTTGTTATGATCAGTTATGATTCTAAATCTTGGAGAGAAGTTTCACTCCTCTCTCTTCCATATTTGTCTTACCTTTGATTAATAAGAGACAAAATAGAAAGAGAGACAGGACAAAAAAAGACAGAGAGAGGAGGTTTATCTGATACAGTTAAACAGCCAGTTGCAACAACAGCAAAACATTGAGCGACATCAACATTTAAACAGAAATTTAACACCGAGCGAGAACCATTAGCAGGAGGTGGAATTCCGCGAGCCTTAATATCTCCCTCATGATGGCATGGCATTTATATGATGCTAAGAAGAGCTCAAGTAAATCACTAACCTCTAGGCTAAAGAGAAGAGACTGCTAACAGGCCAAGAGTGTGACAATATCCTCAAAGGAGCATTTGCCTTTTGTTTTGAGGGGGCGGCAGGGGGGGCGGGGGGCAGGGAGTCGCAGAGAGAGAATGTGACGATGTGACGATGTTATCTAATCACACCCACACACAAAAAAATATGAAGAAAACAAATCTCTGATCAACCTGTTCTCAAACAAAATCTTAACTCTATCAGCTATAGCATAAAAACCAGTGCTTTACTGAAGTTAAAAGCACCGTAATATTAATGACTCTTCGGACTAATAAGAATTGACCTCGATAGATTAAATGGATCGTGAGAAAGAGTTGATCTGTTGCAATGGTTTTAGTGTAGGGTAAATATAGGCGTATAGGAAGGGTTATAAAATCAAACGTATTTGTCTTTAGGTCAACGTTTTCTAGATATAAAAACTCTAGATACAAGCAGGATGTGAAAAGATAAGGGACACCAACACACAACATAACCACTACTCCATTTTTACTGTCTACATTGATGCGAGGTTGTTATAACGTTTTAACAACGTTTTTAACAACGTTTTAAAAACGTTGTAAAAACTTTAACAACCGTTGTTGTTAGGATATGTGTGTTTGCAGAAAACTCAATGATTGTGGAATAGTTTCACAATCTCTGTGTTAATTTTTTTTTCTGTGTAATTTTAATATAAGGATTGGAGTCAACAAAGTCTTCCTTAGTATAAATATTTTAATTGTATGAAATTATCTAAACAAAAGACTAATAGATATTTTGCAAAATATTGTGCCAGATTTAATCCAAATACTTATAGTTTCTATAATTAATTATTCGTATTTGAATACGAATGTTTTTAAAAAGATTGTAAGTAATATTTTATAATTATTATAGATGGGTTGCATGGGGGTTTATGGCATCTCTAAGATGCCATATGTTCCGTCACAACAGTGATTTTTTAGCTCAAACAAAAGTGTATTTAAACTTGATAGAAAAATAAGACACGGCTGGGCAGGTCTGCTGTGAAGCTAAGACCTTCAGAGAACTCCACGACCAGGATTCATTAAGCATTTATGTGTTCACTTACGAAACCTGTACTTCTTTCCTCAATCATGATGGCTGCATTTACAGGCGATGAGTCACAATAACGTGGCTAAAGTATGTTGACCAGACCACACACTAGAAGGTGAAGGGACGACGACGTTTCGGTCCGTCCTGGACCATTCTCAATCGACTTGAGAATGGTCCAGGACGGACCGAAACGTCGTCGTCCCTTCACCTTCTAGTGTGTGGTCTGGTCATCATGGCTGTATTTACATTTATAAGCTCCGAAGCACAAAGAGGTTGTCTACAATAATAATTACCTTGGGTTGTGAAACTTGGAAGCTTGTAAACTTTTTAATAAATACAGATTAAGGAAAGATGTACAGGTTTCGTAAATTGACACATAAATGCTTGATAAATCCTGCTGCAGCTCTCATAACAGTTGGAAACCACCTGGCATATCACATGTTTTGTTCAAAAGATTCGTATGTGATTTGAACCACCGTGGTAAATATAAACAAAGAAACTACTCATTTTTTAAGCTGAAGTCTTTACAAGACTTCATAGAAAGCTTTGTAAGTCTGACTTCAATGGCACATAAATAGCAGTCTCATGGTACAATATCCTGGAGACAGGTTTGCTCAGCGAATCACTAAGGAATATTTGTACGTGTTATCGAGGTAATCGATGAGGAAGCAAAGCCAAGATGCATTCGAGAAAGGTACTAGTGGCTAGTTGAAAGCTGGGATATAGACAGGCTGGGATTCAGGCAGGCTGTGAAAGCTGAGATGCAGATAGATTAGGAAACTTGGGATACAGGCAGGCTGGAAAAGCTGGGATATAGACAGATTGGAAAAGCTTGAATACACAATCTGCTTGGGGATAGATACACATACAAAATAGATACCACTGGCATTGGTGGGGTAGAGGATCAACGTCACATCCCGTATTCACATGAGGATTACAGGGATGACACAGGTACCACTGCGAGGTTACATACACAGGTGTATGACAAAAGTATCACTGATATATATACACAAAAGAGGGAGGGATGGGAGGGAGTTGCGTGGACATACATAAGCTATGTCACATTCTTGGTCATAGTTCTAAGTAGCCCCACAGACATAGAGAGCGCGACCCGGGCAGCCTTGGCCCCCCGGAACTCTGTATATATACATAAGGATATGTATATATATATAGTATATATATATGCAAATATATATATATATATATTATGCCGTGCCCACATGAGAAGGAAAAATTAGATGTTACCCATTTATGTTTGTCTTGTGACTTCCTCAGTACCTCGGCATTTGCTTCTTCGTGCTAGGGAGAAAAAATAAGGATAGAAAAGTGACAGGAAAATAGAAAAGGGATAAATCAAGAAGAGTGCAAAAAAATAGGTCATAATTCACATATTCTTTCCTTTTGTCAGGAAAGGAAAAAAAGGTCAAAAAGGGTTAAAAAAAGGTACCTCTGTCTATCCACTTAGGAATAAAAAATGTAAATATAAAATTACAATGTAAAAAAGACCTTAAAAAAAGGATCTAATCAATCTATTATCTGTAGACAGTACTTTTAATATCCTAATATACTACAAGAATCTAGGGCATATACTAGATTAAGGACAAAAATTAAATAATTACAGAAAACGAGTCTTCTGGACACGAAGAGGTAAGACTAAGAAAACTAGCATTATAATTCTAGCTATTTCACTTGGAAAAGGACTATGCAACTAGTATATATCTATGGTTAAATTTATATATTTCTTCTGAAAACTCTAAGAAAATACGGACATAAAGAGCATATATTTTTATAAGCCTGTGGTAAGAATGGGAATTAAATGGTACAATGAAAAATGAGAGACGGAGAAAGACAGTCAGAAAAGAAATATAGACACAAACGGAAAGAGAAAGAAGCGATGAAATAGAGAGAATGTGAAGAGGAAAAGACATATGAACAAAGTGATAGTGTATGGAAGAGAGAAAGAGAGAGAGCAGGCTGAACTTACCACTGGCCGCAGGTCAGGATGGTAAAGCACATAGCCATTCCGGTCAACCATGAATGAGTAGCCGTTCACTCCAAGCTGAAAACAAATGAAGCCATTAGAGACGAGGAGATACCAAACATTGAGAACGATAGGTAAGGAAGACATAGGCAGGAGAAAGACTCCTGCCCGAAACGCTTTGCGTAATAGTGGCTTTAGGCATTGTATGTACTAGCTCTATCTATAAATCTATCAATTTTTGTAAAATCTCTTGTATGAATGTACCTTACCTGAATAAACATGTATTTATTTATTTTATTTATTTATTTACATATTTATTTTATTTACATGTCAATCTGAGTGACGAAGTGCCAGTTTAGATTTAAGAAGACCTAACCCCCCCCCTCCCCAGCTCGAATTTTCTTCCACCCCTCATTGGCTCTTTTATTCTATGGAACTTTTCCTTTCTCCCTGGCATGTTCTCCTCTCCATGGCACCTTTCTCTTTACTTGGCCCCTTCTCCCCTTTCTGTTTTTTTTCTTCCCCTTCCCATTACATCTCCAGGTTTTCTCTTTCCCTTCCCATTACATCTACAAGTTTTCTCTTCCCCTTCCCATTACATCTACAGGTTTTCTCTTCCCCTTCCCATTACATCTACAAGTTTTCTCTTCTTCTTCCCATTACATCTCCAGGTTTTCTCTTCTTCTTCCCATTACATCTACAGGTTTTCTCTTCTTCTTCCCATTACATCTACAGGTTTTCTCTTCTTCCCATTACATCTACAGGTTTTCTCTTCTTCTTCCCATTACATCTACAGGTTTTCTCTTCTTCTTCCCATTACATCTACAGGTTTTCTCTTCTTCTTCCCATTACATCTACAGGTTTTCTCTTCTTCTTCCCATTACATCTACAGGTTTTCTCTTTCCCTTCCCATTACATCTCCATTTTTTTTTCTTCCACTTCCCATTACATCTCCAGTTTTTCTCTTTCCCTTCCCATTACATCTCCAGTTTTTTCTCTCCCACTTCCCGTTCCAACCCTCGATCCCTTTCGATGCTGGCGGGCGTCCGAGGGTTCAGGACACTGCTGACTGCGAGAAAAAAATACCAGTTAGAGTTACCTTATAGGGTGGGACGAGCTTCTCAATCTCTCGTATGGGCACGTCAGTGCCTGCCACGCCCAACAGGTTCGCCGTCCGCACCTGTGGAAGGAGAGGTCGAAGCTCTTTGATCCGGACTACATTTCTTGAGGGAGGAGGGAGGAGGGGTCGAGGTGGTGAGATGTGAAGAAGCGATAGTATGGAATATCATAACATGATCCCCCGCTTTGTGGGTAAGTTGCAAAAAAAATCATATCAAGAGCAAGACGAAAGCATGCTAAGGAACCTAATCTGACCAAGAAATATATATTTTATACACTTACTTTGTTGCAAGGAGGAAATGAAAATAAATAAAAATATATAATAGATTTACATAGATGTTTTGAATCTTGGAGTTCTGTGAAAGAGTTCTTCAGGTAAAAGATAATTATAGTTAGGCTTGTTAAATTATCTGCAGATGAAATAAGCAGAACAAGAAAAGTAATCAATAACATTCTAATCTAAATGTGACATAACATAAAACGAAAAGTAGACAACAAATTAGCTTTCAGGAATGCAAAGGAATACGAATCATGTAATGAAATGTGGGTGTATGTTGTCAGCGGCGATAGTGAACTAGAGATCAATAATTCATATCTTCAAATTTACTCTCTCTAAATTAGACTTTCGTTTGTAAACATAAGCATCGTAACTGACAGGGGGAGGGGGTTAATTTAATTTATGACTTTCATATCAAAGTTTAAAACTTAAAGTCTTAAATGACAACACAGCAATAATCTAAGTAACATTCTCCAAGTCTTAGGATATTAGGCGACGGCCTCCAAGTCTTAGAATTAAAACTTAGCAACACACAACACAATTGACAGGTTTGAGGAAACTCAACCATGGGTTGAGGATTGAGTGGAAGCAAACTCCACACCTTCCCTTGGTCTCCATCTCTCTCAAACCATCAATTTAAGGTAACAAAACAAGTAGTTATAGGAAGAGCAATAATATGTTGCTAACTTGGGAACCAATAATATTGACCAGTGATGCTCTCTAGTGACCAAACTAGTTTCCTACAGAGAGGAAACTAGCCAATAATGTCCTTTTGATACTCTACAGAGACCGAACTAGTCAATAATATTGGCGTTTGATGCTCCCTGGCGATCAAACTAGTCAATAATATTGGAAAGTGATGATCTACAGAGACCAAACTAGTCAATAATATTGACCAATGATGCCCTCTAGAGACCAAACTAGCCATAAATTTGTTAATGTTAAGTCAGGTGGTTCTACATCACAAATATCCAGAACGTTCTAGGCGTGAAGCATCTATAGATTCAAAAACTAATCTCTACGTTTGATATTTGCTTGACTGAAAACTAATAGGTAAAACTACAGAAAGTCTAGTTCTGAGAGACTGAAGCCTCCTGTACCGGCTGTACCGACTGTATCAGCTGTACTATAAACCGGAGGTCAATCTATTGACAGCCTGGTCAAAGTCTTTCAACTGATAGTGGCGCTGAATCCACAGTCCCCAATAAAGAAAATATCAGTGAAACAAAATTATACGCTGTTCTCAACAGCAAATTTCATATTACTTTTTTTTTTTGCTATACAGCTTCTAGCAGGCTACATCTTCCTTGCAAATTTCTAGAGACTCTTCTAGTACTTGCAATTAAAAATACATGATACCTCTATAATTATCTAAAGAGAAATACGCCAGTACCTCTCGTCTCCTTAACGCCCAAATGGATTCATTGACCAAAACCCACTCCGTGATGTTCTGTGGTGACCGAAAATAAAAGGTTGCGAAATTAGACCTTTGGGGAGAGGTGTTAGATGGGTGGGAATAGATAAAGGGAAAAGGGAATATGCCTGTAATACACTTAGTTACTTGTTTCATTGTGGGAGGGTGGGGGAGGCTAGGCTGTTGAAGGTGCACGGGCGTGAGAGTTTGTGTGTATGTGTGTGTGTATGTGTGTGTGTATGTGCGCGTGTGTGTGTGTGTGTGTGTGTGTGCGTGTGTCGAGCATGTGAACCAGTGAGAAACAAACATTTGTGTGAAAATTATACCAAAACAAGCACAGAGGAAAAAACACCTCATAGGAGCAACAAGACAATCATTCTTACTGCACAAACAGGCAAATATCTCACAGTGGAACACATTAAATTAACCTTTATTACCATTAAACATACCACAATAATCATTATCATCATTATACTCATTATAATGCCAGGATGAAACGGCTGTATTTATAGCAAGTGTTCCACGTGTCAATTGGCATCTTAGTGCAGGTGTCGTGATCCAAAATATGATGTCTTGTGAGAATGAGATAACATAGCATAGAATTAATGCTGAAGATAACAGTTACTCAGGACGTTATATGGGATAACACATGATACAAATTATAATAACTTATTAAAATGTTTATATATATATATATATATATATATATATATATATATATATATATATATATATATATATATATATATATATATATATATATATATATATATATATATATATATATATATATATATATATATATATATATATATATATATAAGCATGAAGGGGCGTTTGTGACTTTTTCCCGTGTGTATTAACTTTCACTCGTGCGAATTTGCTTTCATTCGAGCGTAATTGTCTTTCATTTGTGTGTATTAACTCTCATTCGTGCATATTGACTTTTACTCGTGCGTATTGTCTTTTACTCGTGCGTATTGTCTTTTACTCGTGCGTATCTACTTACATTCATGCATATTAAATTTAATTTGTGCATATTAACTTTCATTCATCTGTACTAACTTTCACTCTTGTGTATTTACTCTCACTCGTGCAAATTGTCAACAGTGGTAGTGGACATGCTGATAGGATAATTAGCGGAGAGAGGGATATAAAATGTATATAATATATAAATATAAATATATACATATAATATATAATTTTAGATTAATATGACTTCAAGTGCATATATACCCACCCAAACACTCTTCATATTACCTAAGAGAAGCTTGACTCTTTGATATACCATTAGTGGATACACATTACAGCAAATTACTTTTTTCCTGTGAAGAGTTAGATTATAAAGAAAAGTAATTCCATTCTGAAAACTACTAAATTTTTGAGTGTACACCAAAATTTGTCAATTATGCTTTCTAAGATCTGCTTAAAATTGTTTGCAACCCGTTCTCGCACTTTCGTATAGTCAATATTGACTTATTAAATACGTGCATATGTGACATACTAAACATACTAGTTTACCTTGAAAAGCTTCATAGAAAACACCGACCTTACCTAACCTTCTTAGTATGTTAAGATAAGCATCTTATTTTTCGTAATTACAATTATTACTTAACCTATACCTATAATAGGTTAAGTAATAATTGTAATTATGAAGCAATAAGATGCTTATCTTAACATACTAAGAAGGTTAGGTAAGGTCGGTGTTTTCTATGAAGGTTTTCAAGGTAAACTAGTATGTCACATATGCATGTATTTAATAAGTCAATATTGACTGTAAGAAAGTGCGAGAACAGGTTGTAAAATTAGTACTTATATTATTTGTAGCAATTATTATGAGTTCCTTTCCAACTGAATTATGTATTACAATCATTATCATTAGTAGATAAATATTCAGTACCATTAAGATTTTCTTAATACGAGCATAAATAAGATTGATAAATTTGCTGAATTTAAATTTATCAAAATTTGGTATCATCATTCAGAATTTTAGTTATTCTTAGTACTGGTTTTGATATTTTCAAGTAATTTATTAAAATAAACTTACAAGTTTGCAAGCTAATACTGATGTATTATATTACACTTATAAATAACACTAAGAGAATTTTATACTTTAATTCAAGACTATTATAAATTATTATTATTAATATAATTATTATTATTATTTTTATTATTTGCATAATCATTACATATTCGTATGTTATGGAACAACAAAAGTATACATTATACTCACGGACGTTTTCTTTCGGTCGAAGACAGGAACAGAAACTGAAGTCATCAGTCGATAACCTTCCCTGAGACCTGGAGCACCTCGGCGACCCTGTCAACATGGCACACGACCACTCCGTTATAGAGACGTCCACAGTAATAGGGAAATTATATACGTCGCTCTAACCAATAAAGGTAAGTCGTTGATGATATTATTTGATCCATTATACTAGGTTCGTTGGGTCAGGGAATTGAAGTATTTGGTATGACCAAAGATTAAGATATATCCCTTTTAAAGGTAAAAATGTTTAAAATGTAACAAAACAAAAAACATTCATATTATGGATTTTTAGGTTAGTAATTTACAACAAAAAAGCTGATCAAGACATACAAAATACTTGGCATGTCCTAAAAATATTACGAAGGAATATATCAAAACAAAATACATACAGTTAGCAGCTAGCTGATTATTGATTAGCAAAAGGCAAAGTGTAACTTACAGAGCATATATATTACAACTGGTAAAGGCTTGCCGGCGATTATATTTGTACCAGTGTTATGTACAAGATACGTGAAAACATCGTCTTTACAATACATCAGGCATATACACAACTCTAAATAATAGTTACATATATGTTATATATATAGTACATATACAATGGTACCAAAGGTGGTATATATATATATATATAAGATGAAAAAGAGTGAGACAGGCGTGTACTAATTTTTTTATCTGAAGGTCATTTCACGGGAGATGATTTTCAACCATAAAAAGAGATATTAGGGTATGGGCGCCTGAGTACCCGTCCCATACCAGTCACATACCATGCGTATATCCTCATACCACCTGTCTAGCTTCTCCTGCTCCCTCAGTAAGCGTTTGTACCACTTAAGCAGATCGTATCCATGGATCTTTTTGGGAATGAGGACTTTCACAGCTCGCTTACTGAGGTGATTGTGTGCCCTCTTTTCCTTGGCAATAAAGGCATGATCCTCGCTTATATTGCCAGTACATAGTGTGGCGTTTATATCTAAGGTGGGAGCAGCCCGTCTCATTCGCTCCCACTGTGAATGTTGCATGGTGGTGGTTGAAGTGAAGTTGGTGGTTGTTGATGATGGTGATTGGTGGTGGAAGGATCGGAAGATTGCAAGGCATGCAGTTGAAGGGAAAAAAATATATGTAAGAATAAGGCAAAAATGTTCATGAACCAAAATGATGGTTAGAGTCATGCATGGCTAAAAACAATGAACCTGGACTCCACCAAAAATATATCCTATTAAAAATAATTAAAAAAAAAGATATATAATTAAAAAACAAAAAAATATGTGTTTCCCCTTTAAGAAATAATCGGTTAAAGAAAAAGGACCGATAAATCTGAAAAAAAGGGGGAACCTCGTAAATAATGGTTCTTGAAAGACAGTCGAAGTCAGAGTGACAAAATTATATAATTAGTGTCCCGTTTTCTGGTGCAGTTCACCTAGAGAATATACTCTGCCCACTGCTTATGTGATGACATTGTGATGACATTAAGGCATATGCAGTGTCTGTAATGCTTTGTCCACTGGATATATAAGAGATTAAATGCATTGATAATTAGATATGCGAGGATATTTATGCATTTCCCACTAAATATGTCAGGATTGGAATGCATAATTAATTGAATATAATGAGAGTGTAATGCACTGATCACTGGATATATATGGAATTAAATGCATTATTTTGTATGTATTTTAACTGTAATACAATGATAAATACTTGATATATAGTTAATGGTTCCTTTAGAGCAGCCGCGTCCAACAGCCTGGTTGACCAATCAAGCAACGAGGAGGCCTGGTCGAGGACCGGGCCGCGGGGACGCTAAGCCCCAAAACCATCTCAAGGTAACTTCAAGGTAGGTCAACAACTGACCTTCCCCAGAATACAACCAATAAAATTACCTAACACCCAAATGCCGCTAGGCGAACAGAGGCAAAAGGTGGAAAGAAACGTGTCCAAATGCTTATGTTTTGACGCGGAAATTGCACCCCCTGAACATTTTGGCTAACTCAAAGGCCTATATCAAACTACCATACATACCCGAATTATTGAAAGGAAGGAGCATTTTCGGGTAAAAAAAATACAACAATGTCCGCGCGGCAAATCAAGGCTTCGACTCCAGCCATTGGTCAAAGCCACGATAGCTCTATCGTCCCCAGATCGAGAACTCTGTACTATCTAAACGAAATCAGTGTTTTTGAAGCATTGGAAAAAAATGAGCTACGAAATATTTATCCTACCCAGCTGTGGATGTGAATGCCTGTAATATCATATGTACAGATGCTCTGGGATTGGTGGAGACTTTTTTTATTTTAGATATATACAAGAGTTGTTACATGGTTGTAGAGCCACTAGTACGCGTAGCGTTTCGGGCAAGTCCCTGGAATACGATCCCCGCCGCGAAGAATCGTTTTTACAACCAAGTACACATTTTACTGTTGAGTTAAACAGAGGCTACAGTTAAGGATTTGCGCCCAGTAAATCCTCCCCGGCCAGGATACGAACCCATGACAAAGCGTTCGCGGAACGTCAGGCGAGTGTCTTACCATTACACCACGGAGACTGAAACTACTTTAAGCCCTAACCCTGGTGGAATCAATCCATGAGAGAATTTAGGTGTATCTACATAATTACTGACGCTTAGTGAGTCAGTAAAAACAGATTGACGGGTATTTCTTTGGATTTTATACTTATAGAGATGAGTAGCAAGAGTCTCGTAGCACAGTCGGGACCAAAGAGCCAAAGCTCAACCCCCGCAAGCACAATTAGGTGAGTACAGTTGGTTTCGTTCTCAACCCACGTTTGGTGATCCCGGGTTCGACTTTAGGGCAGGAGAGAAATCGTTGGGCACGTTTCTTTTCATCCAATGCATCTTTTCACCTATCAGTAAATAGGTAGCTGGGATTTATGCAACTGTTGTGGGGGACTTGTACTACTAACACATCGGGACCTGCTACATCCTGCCTCTCCTGTTGCTGGGAGTTAACTGAGGCCGAGAGTCTGGTGCCCGGTGTGGGAGATTCAAATTCTATTGGCTCTGCCCTCTTATTGGCTAGATTCAAATCTGCATTGTCCATTAAGCGTACAGCAAACACACTCCTTGCGTCCATTGCACTTATCCGTGTTGAACTCTCACTTAAACCGGCCTTATTTACACTTATCCTGGCCTCAGACACACTAATCCAGTCTTCATTCACGCTTATCCAGACTTCATTCACGCTAAACCATAATTCACTCGCACTTAACATGGCTTAACTTTCAGTTAACTAGCCCTACTCACACTTATCCAGGCCAGTGTACACTTATCCAGGCCTACTGACGCTTATCCTAACTCACTCGCACTTATCCTAACCCACTCTCACTTATCCAGGCCTACTCTTATTTATTCAGGCCTGCTCACACCTATACAGGCTTCAGTCACACTTATCCAGGCTTCAGTCACACTTATCCAGGCTTCAATCACACTTATCCAGGCTTCAATCACACTTATCCAGGCTTCAGTCACACTTATCCAGGCTTCAGTCACACTTATCCAGGCTTCAATCACACTTATCCAGGCTTCAATCACACTTATCCAGTCTTCATTTGTACGTATCAAAGCTTAATTTACACCTATCCAAGCTTCACTACCACTAATCCAGGTTTCGCTAACATTTATCCTGACTTCCAATACATATCCAGTGGGTGCAGTGGCTAGTGTGAGGTGATCCTGGGTTGATCTACCCCGGTTTGGTCATCTACCCAAGATTTCACCTACCTCTGGGTTGGTTATCTACCTTGGTTTGGTCATCTACTGTGGCTTGGTCATCTACCCAAGGGAGTATCTTCCATTAGCTGGTTATTTACCCTGGATTGGTCATCTAACCTGGGCTAGTCATCTACCCTAAGTTGATATAAAAGGAATTGGCCATCTACCCATAACTGAGCATCTCTCCTGGGCTCATTATCTACCATGAGTATGTCGTCTACTGTGAACTGGTTGTGTAACCATTCAATGACAACTAACCAATCAAGAGTTAGATTACCAAGGAAGGCCATCCAGCTGATTGGAAATAATTCATCCAGGAAGATGACCAAGCCTCTGATAGATACTAAGCCACAGGTAGATAACGAAGCCTCGGATAGATAAATATGAATATATGTGCATATCCCAATGTGTGTGTGCACAACAGAATACACTTACAATTAGTATCGTCCACTTATCTTTTCTGAACTTGCGATGGTAGCTTATCTACAAAAAGCAAGGAGTCTATTGTAATTTCTGCTGTTAAATGAAGACAATATAATGTATGAGACAACGATAACACAAATTATTTAAAGAAAAAAAGATAGAGAGAGAGAGAACTGGAGAATATGAAAACAAGATTACCTTAAAAAATAGTATAGTATCTATAAATCCATCAACATTTTGTATCTCACCTTGTACGTATGTACTTTACCTGAATAAATATTTGATTTGATAGTGTTGGGATAATTGTCGCCAAGAGCATTGTTATTTAGAAATATAAACTAGATATATTTATGATAAACAGAAAACAGGACTTCAGTTATGATATTATGGGGGAACTTAACCATATTGGATCAGGAGTCATACGTATTAGTATACACTGATTCAATTATGTTAGTCTCGAGAACAGTGTGATATTACATTTTTAATGCTTCATATCTTGCAATATTTATGGGATTTTCATTTTAATTCAGATTTGCTTACTTTTGGCACGTAAGTTATCCTGGAGTTATCTGGAAATTTGATTTTATCAGTAGAAGAATTTTACATTTGCATATGACTCCTAAGCCACAATAAATAATTTCATGATAAAACTAACCAATGTACAGAGAAGTGTTAATATATAGAATAATTGTGTAAGCACCCTTCTCACCGCTGGTAATAATCTCCAATTCAGTAATGGTGAAACAAAATTGAGGTTATTTAGAAGAAAATGAGACTCCTCCCTCCTAATTTCGAGGGGCGTTCCACCGAATTCTGGCTGAAAGGGATACTGTGATTACTAACCCTGGTTTTCCGAGCCTTTTCAGCCTTTATGCGGGCGATGTCTCTGTTGCTGAGGCCAAATTCCCCGTATACGAGGAACTTTTCCACTTCTTTTTCGTCTTGGAGTACCCAAGGATTGGAAAGTGACCGGCTTTTGTTCTCAACGATTTTCTTTAGTTTGCGGTAATTGTTGGTGCGTTCCATCTGTCGTTTTCTTTCTCTCACCTCCCACAGCCATTCTGTTTGTTTTGGATCCTGGACCAATTTTGGATATTATCCAGAGCGCCAATATTATTAATAGCATTGTGGCCCATTTTGTAATTGGTTGAAGCGTAATCGGTTGAAGCGCCATTTATTTAAACGAAATATATATGTTTTTTTTAATATATCAAATGTGTAGGTACCAAAGTTTCGAAGTTTGTGAATGATTAAAATTGGCATTTTTTTTAATGATCGTAAACAATTTTCAATTGGTCAATTAATGGTGTTATGAGTGTGATACATTTTAAAGTTTGCAATTTAATAAAAAATCCAATTTGCGATAGTTTAAGATACATTTAGTATAGAACATTCGTTAAAATTATGTATTAATGGAAGTTTTAAAATTACAAATAAATAAATTCACACATTTAAAAGTTCAAGCATACATTTTTGAAAATCGATTGATGCAAAGAAATGTTAATTTTTAATATTAAATTAAAATTGAAAACGATAGTCAACGGTAATTTTAGACCAGAAAATGTTGTTTTACACATTTCAAAAGCAAAATTGCAAAAAATCGAGTTATCATTACAATCCAGTAATAGATTTACATCAGTGTCAGTGTTTTAAATTTTCAATCGACATACCACAAATTTTGATTGTGAGAGTAAGACAGCCAAAAAGTTCAGAATATAAATTGTGTTGGGAAAATGTGTTTTAAGGAAAATATGGGATCAGGGCCATTATTATTATTTTTATTATTATTATTTTTATTATTATTATTATTATTATCGATTGGTTGGGGACCAGGGAGAGAGATATCACGTTTGTTCGTTCCCAGGGAGGGTGGAGTTAATTTCAGGAGAGTTGAAGTGAGTTGGGTTTCAGCGAAGGTAAGTTGGCCAGGCGAGCATTCGTTGTCAGCCAGTCACAGCAGCGTGAAAAGGAAAAGAAAGCCGGAAAAGAAAAAACAAAGAATTAGTCTGATTCTTCCACCACTTGATTAGCTGATTTGTTTTGGGTAAGATGGTGAGGGGTGAGAACTGTGGTGGTGGTAGTGATAGCTGTGGAGATGATAGTGACAGCTGTGGATGTGGTAGTGATAATTGTGATGATGGTAGTGATAATTGTGGTGGTGGTATTGTGTTAATTTTGTAGTGATGATGGTGACGGCAACTAATGCTGCGTTAGTAGCTTGTGATGATGGTGTTATAAATATGGTGATACTCGTTGTGAACATGGTTATGCCTCCAGTGAAATAATAGTGAAGGTTGAGGAATGATGATATATGGTTCTGATAAGTGAAAATGGTACTTAAGATGGAGGAAGTATGGCATATGATTCTGACTAGTGAAAATGGTAGTTTAAGATGTCAAATGAGAGCACTGAAGTTTGTTAATATATATATACGGTCTTCAGGAATGGTTCTGTTTCATGATACACAGTACAGAGAGTTACAGGACATCTTTTCCACCACATATGTAGATTTAGGAAACATCTGAAATTGTTATATTTTTACACACACACACGCTTAGCATACAAAGTATATTATTATCATAGGAAATTCAAGCCCACTTCAATTAAAAATAATAATAATAATTACAATAATAATTAATAAAGCATCCGAAAAATATATTAGTATATCAAAATGCAAAAAAAAATATGCAAAAGATGTAAAATGAAATAAAACAAAAAAAATAAATGAAAAGTCATAAAAATATTCCATATATCATTCAAGGAACCGAACACTGACTGTCTATAAGGAGGCAACATATATACGAAGTAAATAGAGTGAATGAATTATCTCACAACGCTAAGTAAATATGCCCAAGACGAATCAAACAAAACTTTAATTTCAAGATGGCAGACAAAATTTTTAGAGTATTTCGTATACAGGAGTCCCCCCTTCATAGGCTCTATCAGCGAAGGTTGCCATATGTGTGTGTGTATATATATGTGTATGTGAATGAAAACTCACACCCCAGAAGTGACTCGAACGCATACTCCCAGGAGCAACGCAACTGGTAACTACAGGGCGCCTTAATCCACTTGACCATCACGGCCGTCAAACTGTCAAGTGGCGGTCAAGTGGATTAAGTTTGACGGCCGTGATGGTCAAGTGGATTAAGGCGCCCTGTAGTTACCAGTTGCGTTGCTCCTGGGAGTATGGGTTCGAGTCACTTCTGGGGTGTGAGTTTTCATTCGCATATAGTCCTGGGGACCATTCAGGCTTGTTCGCATGTGTGTGTGTGTGTGTGTGTGTGTGGCAGTCAGGGTTCACAGTCAGCCACACCACAACTACCTACTGGAAACGCTTTCTCTGGTCTACTCGCAATCTTTAACGGCAGCAAAACATTCCACGCCTCCTAGGGGGAAGGAAAGAGGGTAATCACAGGTTAGCTAGCTGACTATCTCGACTTCTGACACTCGGGGAACTTAGCAGGGTTTTGATGAGAAGGAGAATACTTGAAAAAAAAAATGTATGCAAAATACACTATCCTTTTTTTAGTCTAATTAAAAAAAAAAACACTTAAAAATCGAATGAAATGGGTGGTGGTAAATATATATATATATATATATATATATATATATATATATATATATATATATATATATATATATATATATATATATATATATATATATATATATATATATATATATAAGGTTTATGAGGATACTGTTATAGAGGTGAAGTCTTCACTCATTATAATATGTTGTTCACTGTTAGGCTAACATGTCCTGAGTGTGAGGGAAAGAGGTTTCCTTGTCCCGTTTCGGGTCTGATTTGGGTTTAGAAAAGCTCTATTTGAGGGTAATGTAAAGCTGGCCACTCCACCATGGGAGATGCAAACCAAAGCTTGGTAAATGAGGCCACACCACACGTTAATGGCTCTTTCCTCTTAGTGGAGGAATGTGGGGTGGGGTTCCTCTCAACAGAGGAAGGAGATAGGGTTCCTCTCACCGTAGGAAGGAGATAGGGTTCCTCTCAACAGAGGTAGGGAGATGGGGTTCCTCTCACCGTAGGAAGGAGATTGGGTTCCTCTCAACAGAGGTAGGGAGATGGGGTTCCTCTCACCGTAGGAAGGAGATAGGGTTCCTCTCAACGGAGGTAGGGAGATGGGGTTCCTCTCACCGTAGGAAGGAGATAGGGTTCCTCTCAACGGAGGTAGGGAGATGGGGTTCCTCTCACCGTAGGAAGGAGATAGGGTTCCTCTCAACAGAGGTAGGGAGATGGGGTTCCTCTCACCGTAGGAAGGAGATAGGGTTCCTCTCAACAGAGGTAGGGAGATGGGGTTCCTCTCACCGTAGGAAGGAGATAGGGTTCCTCTCAACGGAGGTAGGGAGATGGGGTTCCTCTCACCGTAGGAAGGAGATAGGGTTCCTCTCAACGGAGGTAGGGAGATGGGGTTCCTCTCACCGTAGGAAGGAGATAGGGTTCCTCTCAACGGAGGTAGGGAGATGGGTTTTCTCCCAACAAAGGAAGATGGGTTTCCTCATTGAGAGGAGGGAGATAGCTCTCTATGAAGGATGAGATGAGTCTCCCCTCAAAAAGGAAGAGGTAGGGCTCTTATACACAACGTTTTCCTTTATACTGATACAAGACTATTTAAGATATGTTTAGAATCATTACTATTTGTATTAAGTTTTCTTACTGTCGTCTTTAGTATTTGGTTTGATTCAAACTGGGATGAAAGGAGTCTGGGCTTCTCAAGATATGTAATTGTTTATTTACACTGAGGACAGATGTACCGTGAATGTTGGTATGTTATAATTTGAATTAGCTTTGACCTAATTGCAACATTGTCAAGGAATCTGCAAGTGCAATGCAAACACATTAAAAGTGCTTTGTGGAGATGAAAAACTTGATGTTTTCCACATCATTATCTATTCCGTTAGCCTCTTGCATGGGAGGGCGGGGCACCAGGCTGGAGGGCGGGATAAGAACTTTGAGGGCGGGGCACCAGCCTTGAGGGCGGGGCACCAGCCTTGGGGGCGGGGCACTAGCCTTGGGGGCGGGGCATCAGCCTTGAGGGCGGGGCACCAGCCTTGAGGGCGGGGCATCAGCCTTGAGGGCGGGGCACCGGCCTTGAGGGCGGGGCATCAGCCTTGGGGGCGGGGCACCGGCCTTGAGGGCGGGGCACCAGCCTTAGGGGCGGGGCACGAGCCTTGGGGGCGGGGCACCGGCCTTGAGGGCGGGGCACCAGCCTTAGGGGCGGGGCACGAGCCTTAGGGGCGGGGCACCGGCCTTGAGGGCGGGGCACCAGCCTTAGGGGCGGGGCACGAGCCCGGAGGACGCGGAAGAGGAAAATGACGAAGATGATTTATAATGAAAAGAACATTAGTAACGTAATCTTTGCTTATGTTCAGGGAATTGTTGAAAGTGATTGAGCGTTTGTATTCACCTATATGTGCCTGCAGGATTTAGCTTTAGCTCTTGGAACCCGCCTTTCTAGTCGCCAGTTGTCTAATCCAGACCTATTTCCCTATCATATTTACTTTTTAAGTTGTGTATGAAGTTAGCTTCTAGAACCTGGTACTTCAGTGTGTGTGTGAACAATCATCAGATCTCTGAAAACATTAAGTAATAATACACCAGAAAACCCTTCACGCTCTTGTGGAATTCAATTTATAAATGTTTCCATAGACAGGAATGTTGTTGTTTTAGATTCAGCTACTCGGAACAAAGGTTCCAAGTAGCACGGGCTATAGTGAGCTCGTAGAAATCGTGGGTTCAGAACAAACTTTTACATCATATTCAATTTTAACAAAAAAATAAAAATAATATGCATTACTGAAAGTAAATATATAATAATATTTTCAAACATTGCTTCTAATATTTATATAAAAGTTTCTGTTCATAAAATTTAAACTATTAAAAATGTATAAATAATTTCATGATTATGTGATCACTCAGTTGATATAAAATTTAAATTTAATAGAAATATGTTAACTTCAAAGGGAAATATACAGGTTTTTGTGTGAATCCATTATATAGTTCAGTGTTATATCAGCGAGTTGTATGCATGTTTTGCGTGGGAGGGCAATGATGT